ATAAGGGACAGATGCTAATAGAAGCTAAATAGCATTATTTTCGTGTTTTCGATTGCGATCGAATTGTAACACAGTTACATGTAGTCATGAAAAAGACTATAGACTTGTGTATAGTTGTGAAAATCAAACCGTAGTTGTGCGCAACTGCAGTTCTATCATCGTGGCTACATAAAACAGCCTCACAATTTTTTTCAGTTGTCACTAAAATGCGTCGCAGTTGCTAAAGCCATAGGTGACATGAGTTCAATCTATCTTTCAGTTTTGCTCTCCACACTATTTAAATTTGAGTTGTAACCGAGTTCTTGGTAAAATATTGCGTTTTTATTCTCATCAAGTAGTTTTCGGGGAGTGGGTGTCGGTGTAGGTGTCGGTGTGGATGTGGATGTGGATGTAGGTATTCGTTTCAATGAGACACTCACACCCACACCCTTCGAAAACAAATCACTGCTATCCAAATTTTGTCATTGCTACAAAGGACTCACCAGGTGCTTCAAATTTTCTGTACAAAATTTTCAACTTTTTGAGCTTCGAGGAAAAAACTCACTAGGTCTTCGAAATAAAAGAAAAATTGACTATATTTTTATAAAATTTTAGCAGCATCGTTGCTTTGACGTCACACAAACAGAAGTGTGCTTTGGCATTTGTGGGTGTGGATATGAGTGAGTGAATGTCGGTGTGTGGGTGGGTGAAAATGGCAACCGCTTCTACATCACCATCCGCAGCTCACATTCACCCCCACATTCATTGTATTCCAATCAGTAGACAAAGTAAGTTCTTGAATTTTTCTCTCATACATTGAGGGGCATTAATCAAATGATGGGTTTATTTCATCAGTTACTTTTATTACAAAACTTCTAGATTTAATTCAGATGATCATTTAATTTGGAATGGGTTCTCTAGAAGTTTGATGAAAACGAATAGAAATCAAATATTCACCTGATTTTTCCAAGTTGTAAAAACTGCATAAATCATTTTTTGTTCGTTTTGATAAAAAATGAACAAAAAAAAACATATACAATATGTTTTCTTTATTTAAAACGATAACAAATAACAAAATTCAATTTCAAATTTCAGATTGCTTAGAGATATTTTTCTGTCAACATCATTTAAAAATAAATGATTTTATAAATTTACATAAAACTGATATTTTCGATAAATTTAGTAGACGATATTCATTGAATGCATTGAACTGTATATGTATATATATAAGGATATCTTTCAAATTATACGTTTGTTTTTGTCGACAATTATCACCTCTATACCAAAACGATATTTACGAGGTTATATTGCATAATAGGTAACAATTGAATTATTTTAAAGAATATATCAAACAGTTACATATCTTGAAACGTTTGACATGGATTGATAGTTCCAAAGAATATAAAATATCGGATACCATCATTAACTTCTGTTCGCAACAATTGAAACATTTTCCATATTTAACTGAATGGAACATAAACTTCTCGGATAATTTCAATCTTATTCATATATTAGAAAAGATTAGTACACATACACGACCTGCATTAACGAGTATCACATGACTAAACTCATCTCCTTACAGTTATTTTTTAAATGGTCAAGATCAATCTAGCCTTCGAATGTCAAACATAAAATTCGTAACAATACAGCTAGAAGATTTACACGACTTAGCCAATCTATTCGCGGTTAAAATCGTTGATATTGATCCTTGCCAGCTATGAGGAACAATTTGCTGATTCTCAGCAGTTTAAAACTGTGACTGACGTTTTTCTTTATCTAACATATTTTCAGTACTTAATTCGTACTTCTCATTGTCCACGATTAGACAAAGGTTTTAGTGATGAACTGCGATCGAACGGTTACACAATTAGTCCTCAAGTTATTGGATGAGTTATACCTAACATATGTTTGCTTGATTAATCAACTCCGAATTCGCAACAAATGATCTCATTACTCAAAGCTATTACGATTCTTCAACTAAAGATGAGAATATGTTTGACATATTAATGTGACACAGAACTTTATTCTTCATTTCTTATCAAATTGAACCAAGCCTTACCTCAGTTAACATAACCTTATTTATATCCAACAGAACTATGACAGTGATAAGCAATTATTGATACTAAACATAGTAATGAATCAATTTAAAAAGTGTTTTAAAAATTTGATTAATTTAAAAATACAAATTACAACACAAAAGAAACAAGGTGAACGCTACTTGGAACCTTTTCTGAAGCTACTGAATTGTCAACAAAATAAAGATTTAAATTATGTAGAATATCACAAAGAGCTTCATTTATAGTTATAGGGAGAAAGAGAAAAACTTCATTTGGTTAATTTGAGTAATCTTAGGTTTGCATGAGTGTGTTATACAAACTCAGTATGTACTTAAGTTATTTTCTTTTTTCTTGTGATTTTTAGTAGACTTGTTGATTCAATATCACCAAATCAATTTTATTATTAATCTACTAATTTCTAAATCTGTAATCATATTAATGGACAAAGAGCACAGACTGTATTCGTGTTTGTATGTCTGTTAATCTATTGATATTTTAAAAAACATGTGAAGGTTTTAAAAAAGTTATCAACAAAAAAGACGGATTCAGCAATTTTCAGAATTGCTTCACCATGCTTTACCTTTTTTTGATAGAATACATCGGCAAGTCTGAAAGGTTAACTCTATCATCTAATTATTTCAATCATTAACATCATACGCTTTATTTAATCATATATATCACAAAGTATCTGAAATAATTGTATCAACATCAATACACAAGACATGAGATCAGTTTGATTTGAACTTTAAAAGAACAAAACCAATTCGGTTTGGAACCAAAAAGCATGCACTTATTTCTTGCATAACTTATAGGTTGAAGAGTACAAAAAATGTTTTTTTTCAAACTTAATTACCTTCATCCAGATATACTTTTGTTACATCAAGTGGCTGTCTGTTTCAGACAGAACCGATATTCTACCCTATCTCTGTCTGTGATATTAATGTCTTTTTCATTCAATAGTTTTGGAAAATTCAAGAATTTCATCTGCAGCAAAATTAAAAACGAGGAAATATTTTTATGTTCAATTAATAGATAGACGTTTATTAAATTGAACAATCATCATCGTTGGACTCAATTAGAAAGACCTAATTTGAAGAATAAACAAGTGAAAAACATAATAAAATCCAATGAAATAAAAAAAAATGTCATATTTCAAATCTTGCTAATTAAATCTTTCAAATCAAATTTAGATAATATTAGCTCAATTTTATCAACGTCGAAATGTTGCTTTAGCAGAAAAATATTCTATATTTATCATGGAACAACCTTTTAACAACCAATCAACGAATTCTAAAAGCATTTTCGACATGAAATCGTTCGAAAGCAATCAATAATACAATTTATATGAAGTCAGCTTTTCGAATAGAAGTGAAATGGCGATGAAATAGACTCAATCACTGCAAAAATGAAATAATTATGTAAGAGAATGTTTATTGAATGAATGTTGCTGATATATTAAGATGTGCTCTCGAGAACACATTTTATTCTTATTATATTAATTATCAAAAGCAGACCTTTAAAAAAAACAAGCAAACGCTATTTATTTCTGCAATATCCAACATGACAAACAGTAACTCGAGGGAAGAAATATTTGCTGTAACAAGATCTTTTGTGCCTAATATGATTCTCGATTCAATTGGAATTCGTCTATGGATTATAGCTGTTTGTAAAGCATTTGTATTTATCATACTTATATTAATACGTTGACAATTAACAAAATCAAAAGAGAAAATTCTTTTTCTTCTAAGTTTTAATATGTATATGAGCATATTTATATTTTCTCTTTTTCCAATTGATATGTTTCTTTCTCAATGATTAAAGGTCATCTTTATCCAGATATGTCTCAGATCAATGATGATACATTATGTTGTCGTTTAAAAGTCTATTTATCAACTGTTGCTCTTATTAGTTCATTATATTCAACTACAAGTCAAGTTCTTTATCATTTCTTTCGAATTATTTATTATAATCGACCTTTTTTCCATGTTAATATTTATTTTTATATATTTATTTTATTAATTCAAGTAATTATAAGTTCTCTTTAACCATTACCAATTCTTCTTATTGGAAACTTCCAATATGAAGATTATTATTGTCAAATTAATTTGATAAATGATCGTGGTATTTTAATGGCAGCCTTTCTCATATGGCTTTTACCTGTATCAATAACAGTAGTCATCTATGTATATACATTTCGTTATATACGATAGAATTCATTAAAGTTCACTTGACAACAACAAACAAAAATCAATCGAGATTTTATTGTTATAAAACGTACATTATGGTTAATTATTTTTATTCTTGTATTTGGTATGCCTGCATGTAGTACAACAATTATCTTTTATTTATTTGGTTATATCGGGTGGTGGGCAAATCATTTAACATGGTCAACATTTATATTATCATTTATTGGTATGAGTTTCGTACAAACATATTATTCTTCTCATCTTCATTTATTGAAATCAAGGAGATCAAATCGAATTAATCCGACAGCAGCAATAACACTCACTAACTTCAAGTAACTTCTATTTATTTATTTTTGTTGAGAAAAAGTTTAGATTTTCTGATAGAAGAGCGGATGTGAATGCGTAAGAGAGCAAGATCCACTCTCATTCACATCCTCATTAGAATATTTACGTCCGTCTCACCTTCAAATAATATTGAATAACATCAAGTTTTCTTAGTATCGATTTTAAATTGCGAGAGAAATTCATCGTCTTTTAACATGCGAATAATGTGTGTCTGTGAGTTTTTTTCAACATCAACACATCCACGTGACGATTAGAACAAATAAAATAAAGCAAAAGGTATGAAGAACGAAAATTGTGAATCGTGTAATGTCTTAGCAAAAAATAAGTTCGTTGAAAAGAAAAGTTTCAAACGGTAAGATGAAAAACATGGCAATGCATGTTGATTTGATTGAGCTTTTGCTTTTCATTTCTTTAGTTTTTTAAATAATTTAAGATGACTGATGAGTGTGGATTTGTCTATATGGATGATGCGTCAATCGATGATGAATTCAAATGTTTGATTTGTAATGAACCATTTGAAAAAGCAACATGTACGCCTTGTGATCATACATTTTGTCGATTATGTATCGAACAATGGTTACGAAAGAATACTGATGATAATAAATCATGTCCAATTTGTCGTCATTCATTATCAATAGAAGATGATTTAAAACCAGCAAGTCGTCTTATTACAAATCGAATCGATCGATATCTAGTCAAATGTTTAGCATGTGACCTTGAAAAAATTCCACGTGGTTCATTTTCAGATCATATATCAAAGACATGTACCAAGACAGATGTTTGCTGTTCGGCATCCGATATATTATGCCCTTGGATAGGACCAAGATATCAACTAAATGATCATTTAAAATTATGTCCATATCAACAAATCCGTCCTATTTTAGAACTCATTCAAACAAAGAATACTCAACTTGAACAAGTAGTCACTAATCAACAGCAACAAATTATCAGTATCAACGAACGATATTAAGCACAACAACTTCAGATTGATGAGTTAACTAAAACTGTTGATCTTTTAAAAGGTATGTTAAAAATTTGACTTGTCGTGAGCATGTACAAATATTTCTCTTTTGAAACACATGATAATAAAATTATATATGATTATTCATTGCAGCTCATAAAAACATTACAATAAAGAGAACAATTAACTTCGATGATTTAATCGAGCAATATGATGAACTTGATTCATATTACCCGATTCCATCTAATTATGCTGGTTTTACATGGCACAATGGTGCATTTATGCCTCACCAACATGGAAAAATATCATATCCAAATACTGGTTTTAACACTGCTTTTAAGCAAAATAATAAATGTGTCATATTTAATTTTGGTTGTCAACCAATTACAATGTGCGATTCTCGGAATACATTTTCTATTTTATCCTTTGAGGCGACATGCGCTTTTCAAGATAAAGTCACTTTAACGGTTGCCGGTCGACGTGCTGGAAAGACAATTCACACAATAACTTTTACACTTCGTTACCATGAATTAAAGACATTTAACTTGAACTGGGATTGTATTGATGAACTAGAATTTTTACCGAAGGGTGGAAAACAACTTCCAACAGTCACAGACACTGATAGACACGTCATTTTGACTTGTCTAAATTTTAGTTGAAGAGCAATAATAGATTTCGATATTTTATTTTTTATCAGAATATCAATAAAGTAGAATGTTATTCGATTAATTGATCGACTGACAGTTTATATACGATTAAACATGAAATTTTTTAGTTCTAACTTTGCAATTCGAATTTCATGCATTATAAAACAATTCACTGAAAGATTAAAACTTGGTTTGTATATTCAAGATGATAAAAAGAATATTTTAATCGAAAATTTTAATAAATCTGCTTTACTTCAACTAGTGAAAACATGAATATAACTCAAAGACAACGATAAGACTATGTGATCGATAGCTTTGATTGAAAATTCAGCACTATTCTTCTAATTAACAATCAACGATATTCTTAGTTAAATTCAAAGAGAAGAAGACATCTCACTTGAGATAATTTATACATGAAAAAAGCTACCGATTTGTGAAAACCACAGTTTCCTATCTCTTTCCATTCTAGAGCTGTTTACAAAAGCAGCCAAATTCATTGCTTTTTGAAAATGACAGTATATGATATATTAATTATAACTGCGGTGCGTAGCACAACATTCACGTAGTCCTTCGCAGATGCATTCGGCTTTCATACTTAGCGTATTTTTTGCTATGACAAAGTTTATACCTTGTATCGGGATGATCTAGATAATGGCGGCTCACTAGAAACTTGTGCAAATTTTGTCAGAGAGGTCAATGTCGCGAGATGATCCAAATGATTTCGAATCTTCAATATGAGTTTTCGCTCATCTTCAGGAAGTTTCGAACAATGACAATTTAGACAATTTGATCTTCATTCTTTATCCCAGACCATGAAAGCTGATGAGATAGTCTTAAGCAGATTTCAAAGCTATTGATTTGTGTTGTGATGATCTTCAGAACGAAAGCTCTCAAAATACTCATTCAGTCGTCGTATCAAAGTATCGAGATGTAACCGATAGTATTTCTTGTCATTCTTCTCTGATATCCTCTGTTCCAGATCAAACTGAGTCTAAAAAAGATGAATTTATCAGGAGATCCTTTTTTCAATTCAAGATAACTGAAGTGCAGAAAACAAGAAAAATTAGGTGTGGGTGTGGTTGTCTTTTTCACCCACATCCACACCTACACCGTCTTACTTTACAACGAAAAGTATTGAAAAACCTCTCTCTAGGTCAGGGTTGTCGATTGTTTTTAGGAGTGGGGGGGGATAAAAATTTGGCAGAAAGTCAATTTTTTTACAATTTTTAGTTCATCGAGAAATCTTTTAAGAGTAACAAACAAGATCATGTTCGTCAAAAAGCAAAGACACTTCCAAATATATTTAAACTTTCAAAAAATGAAAACATTTTAAGGTGCGAGCAATTCAAACTTCAAGTCATTTTTTTGCCTTTTTTTTTACATCATTTGATAGAGTGTGGGCCGCTGATCACAAAAAACTTGAAGGACGTCGTTTTTTTCGAAAAAAACACTATTTCAACATATGCAAAATTTTCGGCTATATTCTTGTTTCCAGCTTCTAAAGATATATTTTTCAGATTCAGCATCAAAAACTGAGTGCAGACAAGTTATTAGACCGACCCCGATCTCAAAAAAAATTTTTGATGATGGCGCGTCGAATCGCATGGAGTGCAATACGCATTGGTCGATTTTGTAAGCGCCTATCTAGATTTTTAAGTAAGAGATGAAGTCAGATGTTTTATCTCATTTAACTCATCATGCCACCAGTCACAAAAGAACGCATGGCGTTTTGTTTCTTTTCTCTTCTTGGTTGAGAAAACCTGTTTTTCTGAATTTTGGACTAAATACATGGAATTTGACTCGTATTTCTCCATTTTCTTCATAAAAACTAAGTTTTCATGCAATAATCTTATCATATTCTGAATCAGTACGAAAAACCGAATCGATTGATATATGATTTAACCTTTTCCATTGACTTCAGCGTTTTAGTTTTCGGAGAAGACCTGGCTGAAATTTTCACCACAAAATTAAAGGTAACGACATTTTTCGAAACATTCATCAATCGATTCAGTTTTTCGCGATGCTTCCGAATATGATAAAATTATTGCATGAAAGCTTAGTTTTTATGAAGAAAATGGAGAAATACAAGTCAAATTCTATCTATTTAGCCCAAAATTCAGAAAAACAGTTTCTCAACAAAGAAAAGAAAAGAAAAAAAACGCGATGCGTTCTTTTGTGACTGGTGGTATGATGAGTTAAATGAGATAAAATATTTGTCTTCATCTGTTACGTAAATAAACTAGATCAGGGGTCCTAATGGGCTGGGCCAAGCCCAGCCCAGCCCAGCCCAGCCCAGCCCATGGGCCGAAATTTCGTTAATCGAGAACCATGGGCTGGGCTTGAATTTTTCCAGCCCAGCCCAGCCCAGCCCATGGGCCATACGTAAAAAAAAATAAAAATTTTCAGACGATATTGCGTATTATCACTGAAATTTTTTGATAAATCGAATTTGATACTTGTATTTGGTACAATATAGCAATAATCGTGAATAAATGAAACTAATTAATTATGAGTCCAAACAATGAGAAGGTATAGTTTTTCCTGAAAATGGAAAAAACGTTAAGTTCAGGTTTTTATTTTTGAATAATATAAAAATGATGATGATTTGAATTCATCAAAATTTGAGAATAATAGCTCAGAAAGTGAAGATTATGGTTATAATCCAGTACACACAGATGAATTAGCAAGATGTTTAGCTTTAGAGCTTAACAAATCCAAACTGTCATAAAATCCATTTGAGTTTTTGAAAGAATGTCAAGGAATGTTTTCTGTTCTATCGAAACTTGCTCGACAAATTCACTGTATACCTGGATTATCATCTGCGATAGAAAGATGTCCCAGTTCGGGTGATTTTATTATTAATGAAAGTCAAACATCATTAACCCATTGGCCATCACCGCCGTTTATAAGCGGCGAGAGTCTTATCTTTATATGAAGTGAAGTAATCATTCATAATATACACTTTTTTGAAGCACTTGTCTAAAAAACAAATGTTAGTCATCATTAGCTTTCCAAATTACCATTTTGTTAAGGCACGCTACACGACTGTGCACAGAAAAGCCAGAAAGTTTTCTGAAAACCCGTTTCTTTCTTCTCTAATGTCGATGGTCAAAGTATTAAGTCCTGATCAACTCGATAATATCATAGTAATTAGATTAGTAACAATTCACTAAAATATGAGGTTGTTTTATATTGTCTTAGTTAGCCTTGGTACATTATATGTATTTATTGATATTTTTAACTTGTATGATATATTGCCTATTTATGATGCCGCTATTGATATCTTCATCTCATTTTGTATTAATTATGTATAGGTATAAAGAAACTAATGTTTCTTTTTATTTATTTTTCTTATATTAGTATAAATTTTTTGTTACTATTAATTGGAAAAAATTTTTGAAAAATAAGGGCTCCTCCCCTTCCCTCAGAAAATCCGATTTTCAGAGATGAGCCGAAATTGAAGTTTTATCAACAGAAGATACATTGAAGTCTCATCTTTCAGAATATCTATGGTTTATCAAAAAATGAATTGATTTTGATGAACTTGCTGTCTAAAATTTAGCTCCTATTATCATATATTTCGAGAAATTTTCAGGGTTTTTTTTAACCTTTTTCGACTTTTTTGACTGCTTTCTCTTTGCGTCAATATCTCGTGCAAATTTTTTTCTATACTAATTACTAAGAGACTATGAATACTTAATATTAAGGTTGCAAATTTATAGCCTATCTTAAACGTTGATATGTAAAGCAGGGGATTTTTGGAAAAATCGATTTCTAATAATTATTTTGCATTTTTTTCAAAATCGATTTTGTTGAGAATACTGTTTGCGCGGAGAAGAATTTTTTAATAACGGTTCAAGAGAAAAGGGATATTTTTGTTTTGTTGAATAGAGAACAATTATGGCTAGGTCGCAATAGAGCCCAATGTTCGAATTTCTCTTTTGGTGAAGTAAAAAATTTAAATATTTCATTTTTGTTGACACTTTTTTGGGCATGCTTTCGTGACTTTTTACGAAAAAAGTTTTTTAAAAATCAAACAAAGAAAAACTCATAAATCGAGTTCTATTATGATCTAGCCTTAAGAGCACTCTACAATCTAAACACTGCCCTGGCATGTAAGCTTATATCCTTATTGCGAAATCCTTTGCCGCGTAAAGAGTAATGAACTGGCTGGAATTTGTGCATTTCTTTGGTACTTGGGAAAATATTTGAACCATAAGCTATTCTATTTAACATTATCATTCTCTGAAAGTTTGGTTGAAACCAGATGAGAAATAACAAAGTTCGTTCCCGAGGAGGGCCCTTAATATATGAAATAAAAGAATAGGAAGGTCTATTATATATTTTTCAATATGACAATTT